CTAAGTCTAGCTGGCACCCCAGTACATTAATTCAAGTCCTCGTTTGGTTCCTGTTCCCTCCACAGGCAGAGTAAAGTCTTTGTTGGACGTTCTTTCCGGTCAGGACAAGAAGACCTTCATCCTGTCCCGGATGTCCCCTCTGCAGATGGGGCAGCGGCTCATATTAGGAGCACATTCAGCACACACCACTAAGTGGCCACAAGGAACCAGCACAACGGACACATCTCTGTCCATGCACACTTTGCACAACCGTTCCTCTTGAAGCTGGCAGAGTTTTTCTTCCATGCTGGTGGTAGCTTCTGGCTCGTGGGGGCGTTCGGCTTGTGTCTCTCTTCTCACCCTCCAAAGATCTGGTTCTCTTTCCGTAGACTCACTCTTTTGGGCAGGGGCCAAAGACGGCTGGTAGTTTTCTGCAGAATGCTTCCCGATGACGTCATCTTCCCACGGCGCAGACACGAGTTGTTCTAGCTGCTGGGCAAGCCGATCACATCCATTGGGCCGGAACTTTCCACTTTCTGGCCCTTTAAAGTTGGCCACGAAGGCAGCGCCTTCAGCCTTCACCTGTAAAACTGCAGCCCTTGCTACTATTTCTGTTGCCTCCGCTTTGCGTTGTAGAAACTCAGCCCTGGCCCGAGCTATGGCTAGTTCTGCCCTTTTTTCCTTTTGCAGTAGCTCTGCCTTTGCCACACGTAAACATGCTGCAGCCGCTGCCGCTTCGACTTGTGCTTGTGACGCTTGAGCGGCCAGTCTCTCTGCCCTGGAGACTCGGGACGAATGGCTACGACTAGAAGATGCTTTAGAAGAACGGGAGGTACCTGAGACAGAAGGTTGCTGTGATGCACTGGTGCACGCCTGAGACCATTGTGACTTAAGACGAACGGACGAGGCTTCCTTAGAGGCGTGAGACGAAGCCACATGTGACCGCTGGGATGGCGCTTGTGAACGACGGGTCGCTTCGGACTCAACCTTCTCGCTCGGCGTGTCCTTTGCCTGAAGTTCGTCTCGGAGATGTGACTTGGGACGAGGCTTCCTTAGAGGCGCGAGATGAAGCCACATGTGACCGCTGGGATAGCGCATGCGAACGACGGGCTACTTCGGACTCGGCCTTCTCGCTCAGCGTGTCCTTTGCCTGACGTTCGTCTCAGAGATGTGACTTGGGACGAACGGACGAGGCTTCCTTAGAGGCGTGAGACGAAGCCACATGTGACCGCCGGGATGGCGCATGCGAACGACGGGTCGCTTCGGACTCGGCCTTCTCGCTCGGCGTGTCCTTCGCCTGAAGTTCGGCTTGGAGAGACTTTTTACTGCTTTGGAGGAGCTTCTCACGGTCTTTGTTGATCCGCTTGAGGCGTTGCACTTCCTCTTTGAATGTCGAATCTCCCAGCTGCGACTGGGTGTCTACGAGGAGGCGTTCATAACCGGTCCATTGTAGGAGAAGCAAATCCATATCCCCTTCCAATGTACGGATGCGCTCGGGGCAAAGCTTATCTTTGGACGCGTTGCAGAGTTTCTGCAGCTTCTCCCAGGAGTTTTCATGACGTTGATAGAGGCTACCCCAATTCTCCAGCAGGCTTGACCGCTTGGCTTCGGTGGGATTTCTTTGATGCCTCAAGTCATAAAGTTTCGGAGATGTTTCTGCCTTTTTTAGATTTTCTGCGCACAAGCCGAGGTTAGTTGGAGGGACCAGCCCTTCTGCCGCATTGGGACTCTCTGCCATGACTAGAGAGGAATCAGAGGATTCCCTTAAGTAATAATAATAATGAAGTTGGAAGGGACCTTGGAGGTCATCTAGTCCAACCCCCCCTCCTGCTCAGGCAGGAAACCCTACACCATTTCGGACAAATGGCTGTCCAGTCTCTTCTTAAAAACTTCCAGTGTTCGAGTATTCACCGCTTCTGGAGGCAGGCTGTTCCATTAGATTCAGGGGTTTTCAACCTTTTCACCCACTGTACCACTTTTAGGATAAGGCAACATCCAAGGACCACCAGTCGCCCAGCAAGGTGTCAAAAACCTGACTAAAAAAAAAAGAGGAAAAAAATGATAAAGTACAGGTAGTCCTCGACTTACAACAATTCATTTAGTGGCTGTTCAAAGTTACAACGGCACTGAAAAAAGTGACTTGTGACCATTTTTCACACTTATGACTGTTGCAGCATCCCTGGGGTCACGCGACTTACATTCGGATGCTTGGCAACTGATTCATACTTAGGACGTTCAGTGTCCCAGGGTCACGTGATCCCCTTTTGCAACTTTTTGACAAGTGAAGTCAATGGCTGGGGAGGGGGAGTGGCCAGCTCATCACTCAGGTTGCGCGGTGCCTGTGTGTGTGTGTGTGGGGGGAGAGAAATCCATGGGTCTCTGGTGGAGGGGGGTGGGTGCCTTCCTTCCCTCCCTCTCTCCCATTGTCCCTTTTCCTTTCTTTCCTTCCTTCCTTCCTTCCTTCCCTCCCTTTGTCTCTTCCTGCTTTCCATTGTCCCTCCCTCTCATTGTCCCTCCCTCCCTTCCTTCCTTCCCTTCCTTCTTTCTTCCTCTCTTTTCTCCCTTCCTTCCCTCCCTCCCCTCCTTGTCCCTTCCTTCCTTCTTTCTCCCTCCCTTTTCTCCGTCCCTTCCTTTCCTCCTTCCTTCTTTCTCACTCCCTCCTTCTTTCTCCCTCTCTTTTCTCCCTTCCTTTCTTCTGTCCCTCCCCTTTGTCCCTTCCTTCCTTCCTTCCCTCCTTCCTTCTTTCTCACTCCCTCCTTCTTTCTCCCTCTCTTTTCTCCCTTCTTTCCTTCTCTCCCTCCCCTTTGTCCCTTCCTTCCTTCCCTCCTTCCTTCTTTCTCCCTCTTTTCTCCCTTCCTTCCTTCCCTCCCTCCCCTCTTTATCCCTTCCTTCCTTCTTTCTCCCTCCGTTTTCTCCCTCCCTCCCTCCCTCCCTCCCTCCCTCCCACTGTCCTGCCCTAGCCGCCCAGACCCCAGCCTGGTGTTGGGCGGCAGCGGAGCATTCTCACCACCCGGAGCGGCCGGGGGCGAAGTGACCCGGCGACATCCCGGCCCTGCCTGTGGGCGCGCAGAGGCAGCGCTTGCTTGAAGGTGGCCGCGTGTGCGCCCCCCTCCTTTGCCCGGGGTGGCCGCGTGGCTGGCAGCTTTTGGCGGCGCTGCCGGGACAGGCAAGGGGGGGCTTCTCCCTCCGGGGGTGGGTGGGTGGGTGGGGGGAGAAAGAGGCATTCTCCAACCGGCCCTTCCTTCCCCTTCTCTGGGCTGGGCTGCAATCTCGCCCCGCTGCTTCTGCGCCTCCTCCTCTTTCCTCCTCCCCCCCCTTGCAGAAAAAAAGGAGAAGGCAGGCGGGGGGGGGGCAGGGGGTTCCCCCATCCCTGATGCTCCCAGAAGGGGTTTCCCTTCCCTTCCCGGATTGCTGGCATCCTCCGTCGGAGAAATCCCTGTCTTTCCAAGAGAAGCAGAAGCGGTCGCCCTTTTGCAAGGAGAGAATCTTGCACGGGAATTGCAGCCGGGGATTTCCCCCCCACCCTCCCCAACACACACACACACACACACACACACACACACACACACATATTCCCTGGCTTGCCCCGCATCTGGGCTTTCCTTCCTCGCGAGGAGACCCGCAAGATTTCCTGCTTGCAAAAAGGCGATCACTTTTGGATTGCAATTTCTCCCCATTCCAACTCCGGATCGGGACCCGATCTCCGATCTTGAACGTGTGTACAGGAAACTCCGTAGGCGGCGTTGCCTCCTGCAACGGTCACGAAGACTTATCTTTTTTTTTTACTGTTCTGTATCACGCGAGGTGGGGGGGGGCTTGATGCAGGCAGATTAACTTTAATTCGTCAGGCATTCCCAAAACATGAACTTACATTAATTTACTGTTGCTGTAGGGATTCTTCTGACATCCTTTGCATAATCTGTACCCTAACACGCAGGTTAAAAAAAGATAGTTTCTTCAATGCTAAAGACCTCGCTGGCTGGCACGTAGCCAGGAAATCCGGTAATTAAACCGAAGTCTCTCCCAGTGGCCAGTCCGAACACAGAAATGACCAGGTAACTTAAACTACATTACCCAGAAGGCATTCCCTTAAGGGGACAGTCCTTAATTCCTAAGATAGCTATATACCAGCGAGTGCCCCAACTGCAACCCAAAACCAACTTATGCATTGTCAGGTGCCGGGTGGATGTGGCCCATTGGGTGGATGTGGCCCATTGGGTGGACGTGGCAGACCGGGTGGGACTAAAAAGTTCAATCAATCAATTCCAACTTTGCAAGATCTTTCCCCCCCCCCCCAAGAAGTTGAAATTGACTGATTGATTGAACTTTTTTTTTTTTTTGCACATGGCAGCCGAGGCCTAAAGTGAAAAAGTTTTATAAAACCCAGCTGAAGGCCTAGGACTGGGGCGACGGTGCGCGTGCCCACAGAGAGGGCTCTGAGTGCCGCCTCTGGCACCCGTGCCATAGGTTCGCCACCACTGCTATATACTCTGACCAGCACACCGCAGATTTTAAGTGAATCCCTGCAGTGGGTCAAGGCAGAAATCTACAGCGTAAATAATACATAAATAAGTCAGTAATTAAGCAAATAATTAAATAAGTTAGTCGGCCGGTCGTTAAGTGAAACTGGCATCTCCCCCCATTGACTTCGCTGGTCAGAGGTCCTGCGAAAGGGGATCACGTGACCCATCATAAACACGAGTCCGTTGCCAGGCACCTGGATTTTGATCACGTGACCGTGGGAGGCTACGACGGTCGTACTTGTGAAAAAGAGCCGTAAGTCCCTTTTTCGTAGCTCCGGTCACTAAATGAACGGTTGTAAATGGAGAACTAGCTGTATATACCTTCATAAAAACATACCCACGGTTTGGTAGGAAGTTTATTTGTTGAGCTTGGACCAGAGAAGCTGCTGGGAGGGGAGGGGTAAATCTGTGGGGGGGGTTCATGGGGGCCACGGAGGGCCCAGGCTAAGCAGAGCTGTTGTCAGCCCACCCGGTGTGCTTGCTAAAAGACGTGTCTCGGATCCCCTTGTGGCTGCTCCTAGCTGGGGAGGCTCGGCGGGAAAGCTTGGAAGGAGTCCAGCCAGTGAGCGTTGAACTGGGTCATCAGCTGAGGGGGCACGCAGTGGGACCACTTGTAGCGGGACTTCAGCCAGGATCCGCCGTCACTGTCCTCGATGCAAATGGCAGCGATACCTACAAGGCAGAGGGGGAAAGGGTCAGAGCTGGCTGGATGGTCAGCTCGTCAGAGGTCCGGCTTCAGGACTTGAAGGCCAGCCTGGTATATCACACCGCAGCAGCACGTGGTATATAACAGAATGACAGAGTTGGAAGGGACCTTGGAGGTCTTCTAGCACAACCCCCTGCTCCAGCAAGGGACTTTACACCAGTGGTGTCCAACCTTGGAACTTGAAGACGTGTGGACTTCAACTGCCAGAATTCCCCAGCCAGCAAAGCTGGCTGGGGAATTCTGGGAGTTGAAGTCCACACGTCTTCAAGTTCCCAAGGATGGACACTCTTAACCTATGAGGGAGAATAGAATAGAATAGAATAGAATAGAATAGAATAGAATAGAATGTAGAGTAAGAATAGAATAGAATTAGAATAGAATAGAATTAGAATAAATTAGAATAGAATTAGAATAGAATTAGAATAAATTAGAATAGAATAGAATAGAATTAGAATAGAATAGAATAGAATAGAAAATAGAATAGAATAGAATAGAAAATAGAATAGAATAGAATAGAATAGAGAATAGAATAGAATAGAAAATAGAATAGAATTAGAATAGAGTAGAATAGAATTAGAATAGAATTAGAATAGAATAGAATAGAATTAGAATAGAATAGAATAGAATTAGAATAGAATAGAATAGAATAGAATAGAATAGAATTAGAATAGAATAGAATTAGAATAGAAAATAGAATAGAATAGAAAATACAATAGAATGTAGAGTAAGAATAGAATAAGAATAGAATAGAACAGAACAGAATGCAGAGTAAGAATAGAATAAGAATAGAATAGAATAGAGTACAATAGAATTAGAATTAGATTAGAATAGAATAGAATAGAATAGAATGTAGAGTAAGAATAGAATAGAATGTAGAGTAAGAATAGAATAGAATTAGAATAGAATAGAATTAGTGTAGAATAGAATTAAAATAAATTAGAATAGAATTAGAATAGAATTAGAATAAATTAGAATAGAATAGAATAGAATTAGAATAGAATAGAATAGAATAGAAAATAGAATAGAATAGAATAGAAAATAGAATAGAATTAGAATAGAATTAGAATAGAATAGAATTAGAATAGAATAGAATTCGAATAGAATAGAATAGAATTAGAATAGAATAGAATTAGAATAGAAAATAGAATAGAAAATACAATAGAATGTAGAGTAAGAATAGAATAAGAATAGAATAGAATAGAATAGAATAGAGTACAATAGAATTAGAATTAGAATTAGAATTAGAATTAGAATTAGATTTAGATTAGAATAGAATAGAATAGAATAGAATAGAATAGAATAGAATAGAGCTGGAAGGGACCTTGGAGGTCTTCTAGTCCAGCCCCCTGCTCAAGCAGGAGAATACCATTTCAGACAGGTGAATGTCTACTCTCTTCTTAAAAACCTCCAGTGATAGAGCACCCACGATTTCTGGTGGCAAGCTGTTCCACTGGTTGATTGTCCTCACTGTTAGGAAGTTTTTCCTTAATTCCAGGTTGCTTCTCTCTTTGATCAGTTTCCAACCACTGTTTCTTCTCCAAGCTTCTGGGTTGGTTTCCAAACGTTTCCTTAACCAGGCTAGCTGACCCCTTCAGCAGAGAGGTGTCCCCTAAACTCCGCTGAAGACACGTCAAGGTTGAATTGCTGAGATGCTTCCTAACCTCCCTCGCTACCCAACTTGCCATACAAACGGGGCGGGGGGGGGAGGGAGAGCCTGGGAAAAGAAACGGGAGTCTCAAGAACGCGTCCCCACAGCGTGGGACCCAAGGTCAGCCGAAGCAGGTGTCTGACGGAGACGGGGACCGTTCCCACAACAAACGGAGAGGATGGGATTGGGCAACGTGAACACAGGGCGGGCGGGGCGGGGGTTAGGAAAAGCCACCCTTCACTAACCAGATTTTCACGTGGGAAACTTTAAAGAGTTGATTTTGCTTCTTCAGCGCCGGGGAGGCGTGTTCAATAAAGTTGATCTCCTACGGCACCTCAGAAGCGGGTAGAGTTTCTTCAATATTAGAATAGAATAGAGCTGGAAGGGACCTCGGAGGTCTTCTAGTCCAGCCCCCTGCTCAAGCAGGAGGACCTACATACCATCTCATATTGAATTCGCCAGCCGCACGGTTGACCTTGGGACTCCCAACGCCCCCTGCAGGGTGGGGGGCTCCAGCCTACGGCGCCGGACAGGTGGTCTGGCTGCCGCCCGGCTACCTACTGCTTCGGGGTGGCCTTGAGCCCCCGGCCCTGAGGCCCACCTTCGACGGACAGCCGGAGAAGCTCGCCTACTTCCTGAGCCAAGCGCGGATCTACCTGGGCAGGTACGGAGCCGCCTTCCCGGACGACGAGGCTCGCGTGAGCGCGATCGCGGAAAGCCTGGACGGGGAGGCCGCTGAATGGATGATGGCGCTCCGGAATGGACGTGGGGGCTCCGGAGCTGGGGGGCGTCGAGGCTTCCCTGGAAGGGCTCCGGGAGAGGTTCGAGGACCCCACCCTGACCCGCCGGGCGGAACTGGCCATGGACTCCATAAGGCAAGGCAGCCGGTCCGTGGCGGAGTACGTCGGGGAGTTCCGCAGGACAGCCCAGAGGCTGCGGGGGTGGCCGGAGCAGCTGCTGGTCCGCCAGTTCCGAGACGGCTGAGCAGGGAGATGTACCGGCGCTGCCTCTTCAGGGGGTTCCCCCACAGCCTCCCAGCTTCGTACCGACTGGCCAGCACGCTGGAACTGGAGCTGCGGGGGCGCGGGCTGCTCACAGCGCCCGAGAGCCGGGCGGCCCATTGCCCGGCCCCCCGACCCGCCTCGACGCCCGGAGCCCCGAGCCCTCCCAAGACCCCGAACAAGGAGAGATCGGGAGGGGCACGAGAGGTCGTGCAGGTCTCCCCCGAATCAAGCGAGGGGGAGGGGAGTCCGACCCCCGACCAGCCTGGAGTGGCCTTCTCCGAGAGCGACAGCCAGGGGGAAGACGGTCCGACGGTAAGTGGAGCCACGCCCCCATTGAGTGCCCAGGTGGAGGTGGTGGGAGTCCCCCAGTCAGGAGCGGGGGGGGGGAGACCCTTGGCGGCCCTGCTAGAGTCGGGGTGCAGCCGTTGCTTAATCGGCCTGAAAGCGGTGAGACCGAAGCAACCCATGAACTTTGAGCAGGTCGATGGCTCGCTCACTCTGTGTGTGTGTGTGTGTGTGTGTGTGTTCCTGCAACCTGCCTCCCTGAACCAGTGAGACTAAAAATGGGGAGCCATAAAGAGACTATCCAGTTTATTGTGGCCCCAAAGATGGCAAAGGCAATGATATTGGGGCTGTTGTGGCTCAAAAAGTGGAATCCATCAAATAGAATAGGAGAGGACAGAATTAGAATAGAATAGAATAGAATAGAATTAGAAATTAGAAATAGAAATTAGAATAGAATATAGAATAGAATAGAATAGAATAAGAACTACAGAATAGAATAGAATAGAATTAGAACTATAGAATAGAATAGAATAGAATAGAATAGAATAGAATAAGATTTAGAATAGAATAGAATAGAATAGAATAAGAACTACAGAATAGAATAGAATAGAATAGAATAGAATAAGAACTACAGAATAGAATAGAATAGAATAGAATAGAATACAATACAATACAATAGAATAGAATACAATAGAATACAATAGAATACAATAGAATTAGAACTACAGAATAGAAGTAGAACTATAGAATAGAATAGAATAGAACAGAATAGAATAGAATAGAATAGAATAGAACAGAACAGAATAGAATAGAATTAGAACTACAGAATAGAATTAGAACTATAGAATAGAATAGAATAATACAATACAATAGAATAGAATTAGAACTACAGAATAGAAGTAGAACTATAGAATAGACTAGAATAAGATTTAGAATAGAATAGAATAGAATAAGAACTACAGAATAGAACAGAACAGAACAGAATAGAATAGAATTAGAACTACAGAATAGAATAATAGAATAGAATAGAATAGAAATAAGAATAGAATAGAATAGAAATAAGAATAGAATAGAATAGAATAGAAATAAGAATAGAATAGAATAGAAATAAGAACAGAATAGAATAGAATAGAATAGAATAGAAATAAGAATAGAATAGAATAGAATAGAAATAAGAATAGAATAGAATAGAAATAAGAATAGAATAGAAATAAGAATAGAATAGAATAGAAATAAGA